ATGATGTCTTTGGGCTACAGATATAAGCACCTTCCGGAACCATCTCCCACTGACCAAGGCCAGCCAGGCCCAAGAGGAAGAAAGTGAGGGGCAGCTCTCGCCTCCTACCTCAACCCAGTACTACGGGGAGGCCTCTCTGCAGGTAAACGGAGAAGGCTGGAGCCTAGCCCCATTAGAGACCCCTACTTGCAGCCCAACCCTCCCAGCAGGGTGGGCAAAGAACCCCCAAACTGGGGGCTCAGGGACTGGCTCAGGCCCAGGGCCAACACCCTCTCTTGTCTCCCTCCAGGCCACCTTGCTGGGTCTGGCAGCCCTAAACAAGGCCTATCCAGAAGTGCTGGCTCCAGGAGGCACTGCCTGTGTGACCCCTACGTCCCCCTGGCCCTGCCCTCTCCCCTGGCCTTGGCGTGCCTTGGGCCAGGTTAGCGCCCCTGGAGCCAAGCACCCTGGGGCCCTGCTGCTGAAGGCACTGAGGTCCCCAGGGCTGCGGGCACTGGAAGGTGGGACAGCAGCCGAACTCCTGGACGTCTTTGTGGGCCTGGAGGCGGATGGCGAAGAGCTAGCTGAGACAATAGCTGCCGGGAACCCGGGGGTGCCTCTCCCCAGACGGGCAGCTGAGTTGCGGAAGGCCCTAGAGCAGGGGCCCCGAGGACTGGCCCTTCGGCTCTGGCCGAAGCTACAGGTGGTGGTGATTCTGGACGCAGGAGGCCAGGCCGAGGCTATGGCTGCCCTGGAGGCATTGTGGTGCCAGGGGCTAGCCTTCTTCTCCCCGGCTTACTCTGCCTCTGGAGGTCAGCGGGACTCAAGGCTAGTGAGCTGGGGCAGGGGGCAGAGGTCACACAGCTAGCTGCGAAACACTGAGCCCTACCTAATCATTTAATCCCCCCAACACCAACAGCTCCGCTTATACACATGCAGAAACTGAGGCTCATAGAGGTTAAGAAACTTGCACAAATTCACACGGCGCCAGCATTTGGCGCCAGGTCTGCCACCCGCCGAACCACCGCCTCCTCCCAACTAGGGCCTCAGAGACGGCACACTGAGCCTGGGGGAGCCAGGAAGGAGGGGTGGGAGGGCAGCAGTGGGAACAGCTGCTCAGAGAACTGGGGCCTGGGGGCCCGGGGGAGGGGCTACTGCCTAGCAGAGAGCAAGGGCACTGGCCACTGAAGGGCTGCTTGCTCCCCACAGGGGTGGTGGGCCTGAACCTGTGGCCAGAGCAGCCCCGCGGGCTCTACCTTCTGCCCCCTGGAGCTCCTTTTATTGAGCTGCTCCCAGTCAACAAAGGAGCCCAGGAAGAGGCTGCCTCTACCGTCCTGCTGGCCGAGGCCCAGAAGGGCAAGGAGTATGAGCTGGTGCTGACCGACCACATCAGCCTTACCAGGTGATGGCCTGCCCACCCCTCTGGGACCCTATCGAAGGCCAGGGATATGAGTGAATGGGCCCCTGGGGCTGATCTCGCCCCCCACTCCTCCACCTGTCAGGTGCTGCCTGGGTGATGTAGTACAGGTGGTTGGTGCCTACAATCGGTGTCCAGTCGTCAGGTTCGTCTGCAGGTACGTGACCCCCTGGGGAGCTGAGGGGCCGTCCTTGTGCCCTAGGCTCCTCTGTCTCCTTCCTCCTCCCCAGGCTGGGCCAGGCCCTGAGTGTGAGAGGAGAAGACATTCGAGAGGATGTGTTCTCTGAGGCCCTGGGCCGGGCTGTCGGGCAGTGGCCAGGGGCGAAACTGTTGGACCACAGCTGTGTGGAGAGCAGCATTCTGGGTAAGCTTCTCCATCAGCTCCTGCCCCCCATTCTTGAGTTGGCTGCCCCCCATGCCATTCCATGCGGATGGAAGAACTTTAGAAAAGACGTCAGAAGACGTGGCCTCTTTGGTTGCTCCTAACACAAGTCCTAGCTCACTCAGGTCTAACTCCCATCCCTCCTGCTGCAGTCTCTCCCCCTTTCCCTTCCCGGCCTGCTTCATATTTACGATTAGGTTTTGGGTTCCTCTCCATTTACCCTCCTCTCTACCAAGGGATTCCTCTTCTCCCATGAACCTCAGAGTAAGGTGGAACAGGTAGGAGCACCGGCATTGGCGTTGGGAGCTGCCCTGTTGACAAAAGTGTGTGAACATGGGGGTCTGTCTGCAGATTCCTCCGAGGGCTCGGCTCCCCACTATGAGGTGTTTGTGGCGCTGAGGGGCCTGAGAAACCTGTCAGAGGAAAATCGAGACAAGGTAAACAAGACAGGGATAGGACAGGACGGGACTGCGTGTCTCCTTTACCCTGCATGACTCCAGGTGCCCTGGGCGCAGTGGAGTGATGGGGAGGAGGGGGGTGGGGAGGAGAGCTTCCCTGAGGCTCTGGGAAGGGAGAGATGAATTCCACAGACACATATGGACACATGAAACACCTACCACACATACCCTGGGCACCATCAGGCATCCCTCATCCACATGCCACACAGCTACACACCAGCCTCACTCAGGCCGTTCTGTTTCCAGCTTGACCACTGCCTTCAGGAAGTCTCTCCCCGCTACAAGTCCTTGCGGTTCTGGGGCAGCGTGGGCCCTGCCAGAGTCCACCTGGTGGGGCAAGGGGCCTTCAGAGAACTCCGGGTGGCCCTTGCAGCCTGCCCTTCGTCCCTCTATCCTCCTGAGATGCCCCGGGTCCTTAGGCACAGGCACCTGGCCCAGTGTCTGCAGAAAAGGGTGGTGTCCTGAGCTGAGAGGCCTGCCCACTGCCCCATCCCCCTCATAGGCCACTTGGTACATTCCTCTGTGGCCTCTCTGGATGGGAAGTCTTGGCCAGGGTCTTCGACTCTGTGTCACGTGACAGTTGCCCATCAGAACCCCAGGCCTGAGGGAGGTCTAAGCTGTTCAGCCCTTTCTGAGGAGCCCACGTCAACTGGCCCCTGCAGTGCCCTCCCTGAAGTCCCGTGGCGCCCTCCGGAGGACACTGCTAGAGTTCCCACATACTGCCGATGTCTCCTGTGTCTCCAGGCCCAGTCACTGGGCAGGCTGGACGTGTTAACCGTTAATGTTCCCCAGGAGCGGCCCTCAGTCAATAAGAGACAGGAGTCAGAGAAAGAGACCTCAGCGTCACTGTCCCTGAGTACAATTCTCAAGTGTCTTCTGCACCGGTTGCCCGTAGTGGTAACCCTCTGATTAACACAATTCTTACTGGTTTTCCTTCCACCCTGCCCATCCCCATGTTTTCATGTGCTTTGTAGGATTACCTCCCAAATAAACCACTTGCACCCAGATTCTGGACTCAGGGTCTGCTTCTGGCGAAACTGTAGTAGTCTCATTCGTCCTGCTCTTGCTGCAGGCTGGCTTCCCCCACCTTCAGCTCTGGACACCAAGGCTTTCCCCCCACGCTCCACTCCAGGTTGGGGTAGGTCTTGGGGACCCCTACCATGGCCTAGGTCAACCCAGAAGACCCAGAGCCCACGCCTCCTCCCTCTCTCCACTCCAAGCTTACCGTAAATGGGGAAGGACTGCTCCTCAACTTAGCTGGCTTAGCACAGGTGCCTGTCTGGCCCAATACCCACAAATCACCTCCATGGGCAGGGGCTATACTGCAAGTCAGGAAGTATCACAACAGGAAGCAATCTCAGAGACCATTTGGGTTAACTGTCCATCTTAGCAGTGGTGAAACTGAGGCTTCCTGAGGCTGTGAGGCTTGCCCAAGGCCCCACAGGCTCCTCTTAAGTAACACAGTCCCTGTTCCTGATCAGTTGCCAAGTCACCAGTTCTACCTCTGAATTACTGCTGGATTCCATGCCCCACATCCAGGCCACCCAACCCCCCATCAACCCCACAACTTCTTCCTGGTAAAACCCTCCTGTGGCTCCCCAGTGGCCACAGGATTCAGACCAATCAGCTTAGCCTGCAAGACCCTTTGACCCACCCTGGCCCTCACTTACCTGTCCAGCTACCTCTCCCCTGAGAAGGAAGCCACAGCTATGATGACCACACCCTACTATCCTGCATGAGCTAAGCACTGTCACCTCCAGGTCTCTGCTCAAGCTGTGACTTCTGTGGAATGCCTCCTCCCCTGTCTTAGCTGATGGAAATCTACTTGGCATGCAAGGCCTTTTTGGGGTCCTTTCTCCCATGAAGCTATCATTATGCTAGGTTGCCTCCCCATCTGGACTTTGGAGCTCCTGGAAAATTGGGCCATGTCTGATGCACACTGTCCCTCCAGTGCTGTGCAGGGCCTGGCTGAGAGCAGGTGCATAATGGACATGCCCAAAATAAAAGAGACTCTGGCTTGGAGATGGCGCGGTCCTCCCCGCCCCGGGTCGTTCACTCTCTCCTATGGTGGGATTGGGACTCTATCCCCTACTCCAGGCCACCTGAACAGGAGGAAAACTGGGCAGGTCCAAGAACAACACCAGGTTTGGCTGTTTCCTCCCCCTACCCAGGTTGAGTTTTCAAGCTTTTCCCCCTCGGAGGTTCGTGGAAGGGGCAGAGGGAAGGAGAGAACTGGGGGAAGGGAGAGGTGTAAGAAGACTTTTCCATTAAGGAAGAGGGCCGTGGAGCCTGACAGACCCCAGGGACAGCAACCAGGAGCTAGGCCTGCTGCCTAGCTGCCCTCCCCCCACCACATACACCATGTGGAGAGTGGGTCTCACAGCTGCCTTCTCTCCTGCCCTAATTAGCAGTTGTTCCCCCCCCCCACCCGCCCCAAACACACATACATTGTCCCAGGCCAGCGCCCCAGCCAGGGCCTCTTTTGTGCTCCCAGATTCCTGGGTGCAAGGTGGCCTCATTAATGCCCGGAGACCGCCCCATCTCCAGGGAGCAGCCAGACAGACAAGGGGGGGACCCTGGGCACAGTGATCGAACTCCCGCTTCTGAGAGCCTTGGTGGCCATTCTTTGGGCCCAACCTGGAGACGGCTGCCCTGTGGGAAGCTAATCTTAGACTTGCCTTTGTCTGGCCCCAGAGTAGACGCAAGTACCCGTCTGTCCTGCACCACCTCAGAGCGCTATAAACCCCAGGCCCTTGATCAGTGGTCACAGTCAACGGCCTCAAAGTTCCTGGCTATTTGGACCACTGCAGACAACACCTTTCTTGGCTACCCCACTCTGAGCTCCAGACGCCATGAACCCTCCCTCTACAAAGGTAAAGATACCTGGGGATGGAGGGGTAACTCATCATCCCAGGGGGGCAATGAGACTGCTTGCTCAGGGGGCTGGAAAGAAGTCTGAGATGTCTCTACTCTTGGTCTTTTCCCGGGGGGGGGGGGGCGGGGGGGGCAGGGCGCGGAGGCAGGGGACTGGGTGGGGCCTTGGCGGAGGGTCGACCTCTGCTAGCATGGGACTGTGCCCAGCTCCTGAGAGCTCATGTATCAGATGCTGTTTGCAGTCTCTTATGTCCTCCTCCTGGCAGCCTGCACTATAGGAATTACTTAACCCGTTTACAAGTGAGGAAGTTGTGCCCATAAGAGGGTAGGAAACTGGTGCAGAAGCCACAGAATGCAGTTTCCCCTGTGAGGGAACAGGCAGACAAGACAACCTGGATCCTGCCGGTCCTTGACTGCACCCCAGTCCTTGGTTTGCCCATGTTGGGGCTATACTGGGTCTGTTTCCCTGAGTGAACAAACTTCCGGTGCAGACTCACACACCCTGTTTTCAGGTGGAGTGGTAAGCGCTCTAATGGGGGTAACGAGAGACTTAAGGGTACCCAGAAAAGAGGGAATCACTCTGCCCAGGAGTCTCAAAGGGCTTCCTGGAGGAGATGGTGTGCTGGGGCTTAGGAGATGAGCAGGTAAAAGAGCCAGAGAGGAGCCCTCCAATACAGTCTTGCAGACAGAGGCCGGGAAACTAGGGAACGCAGAGTGTTAGGACCGCAGGAGGGAGGGGGCGTAGAACCAAGTGGGCGGGGCCTGGGCCAGGGGGCTGAAGGTGGGCGCGGCGGGAAACCCGCCGCCCCCCCCCGCCCTCCCCCCACCCCAGCACCTGGCCTCGCGTCTCCCTAGGTCCCCTGGGCCGCCGTGACGCTGCTGCTGCTGCTGCTTTTGCTACCGCCCGCGCTCCTGTCGCCGGGAGCGGCAGCGCAGCCCCTGCCCGACTGTTGCCGCCAGAAGACGTGCTCCTGCCGCCTCTACGAGCTGCTGCACGGCGCGGGCAACCACGCGGCCGGCATCCTCACGCTGGGCAAGCGGCGGCCGGGACCCCCTGGCCTCCAGGGCCGGCTGCAGCGCCTCCTGCAGGCCAGCGGCAACCACGCAGCCGGCATCCTGACCATGGGCCGCCGCGCAGGCGCAGAGCCAGCGCCGCGCCCCTGCCCCGGGCGTAGATGTCCTGCCTTGGCCGCTCCCTCTGCGGCGCCTGGGGGACGGTCTGGAGTCTGAGCCGTTGCTCTGGCCGGGTTCTGACCCTGCCCTCTCCTCGCTGCCCGCCGGGTGTCAGCCCTCAGAAAAAGGGCAATAAAGACGAGTCTCTGTTAGTGAAGCTGGTCTCTGTTCCTTTGCTGTCGCATCCCGTCCTGCAGGGGGCGTGAGAGTCTGTAAAGAGCCCGAGGGCCTGGCAGCCCGGCCCTGGAGCACCTCAGCTCTGGCTGGTAGAACACAAAACACAGAGCAAGGAACTGTGCTAGGCCCAGTGGTACGGAGAGAAACGCACGTGTGCACGCTTGGAGGAGGAGGAGGGGGGGGGCAGACTCATCTCTCAATGCTCTCTCCTCGTCATTCTGTACCTCCACCTTTACAGACAGACAGGGATGGGAGGTAGCTAGGAATGTTGCACAGAGAAGCGGAGTCTGGCTGGAAAGGGAGAGGAGCCAAGCTTGCTCAAAAGACCGAGAATTTGAGATTCAACGTGAATTTTCCCGAGTGGCTGCAGCACGGGGTTGACGGTGTGGGGCGCGGGGAGACGCTGGAGGGGAGGCTCTTAGGTTCCTGCAGCCTGGACTGTGAAGGCTTTATACTTCATTCTGTAGGTACCTGGGAGTCAGGAGTTCTTAATCAGAAATGGGGCAAGATTTTCCTGCAACTTTAGCCGAATGCACCTCCTCACCCCCAATTCATATGTTGAAGTCCTAACCCCCAGCACTTCATAATATGACCTTATATAGAAATAGTAGATATAATTAAGATGAGGTCATACTGGAGTAGAGTGGACCTCTAATCCAATATGACCAGTGTCCTTATAAAAAGGGGGAATGTGGACTTACAGAAACACACACAGGGGGAACCCATGTGAACATGAAGACAGAGGTGGAGTGATGTATCTACAAGCCAAGGAACACCAAAGATTGTCAGCAACCCACCAGAAGCTAGAAGAGAGGCATGGAACAGATTCTCCCTCACAGCCTTCAGAAGGAACCAGCCCTGCCTTCTCTTGATCTTGGACTTCTAGCCTCCAGAACTGAGACATAAATTTCTGTTGTTTAAGCCAGTTTGTGGTACTTTGTTATAGTAGCCCTAGGAAACTAATATAACATCCAAAAGTAGAGACACAGAAGGATGTGGGACTTTTAAGCAATCTAACATTCCAGATAATGCCCAGGTCAGACTTGGGGATGAGGAGCACTGGTGAGGGCCTGAGATGACCACCAGCCTATCTTCCCATTCTCACTGGCTTTAGCTGCTTTGTTCTGGAAAGCAGCCACCCTAAGCCACCACCCTCAGCTGCCCCCCACCCACCCCCCCCACCCCCGCCCGGTGATTTTTCTGCTTTTGTAGTGAAAAAGTCCGATGTCTGGTCTCACCTGGGTCCTTCTTGCTGCTGCACTGGTTCCCTCTTGGAGAAGATGGAGCTCAAAGACCACCAATACACCTTTAAAGATTTGCAAACTGACTCTGCCTAACTTGAAACTATCTTTCTCAGCCCCCAACTTGCCTCCAGCCTCTCTTCCACTTGAATGGCAGCTGAGAGAAGGAAGGTTAAATCAAGACTACAGGAAGAGAGAGACAATTGCTGTCCAGCACACTTATTGTGTACCAAAAACATGCATTATGCTATTAAATTCTCACAACCGCATGAGGTGAAAATTATTAGCTCAATTTTACAGATAAGGAAAGGGAGTCTTGACGAGGCTAAATCACACAATCAGTGAGTAGCAAAGCTGGGATTCTACCCCATGGACTCCAAAGCTCTTTTCATCCACCAGGCTGCACTCAGAGACAGAGCTCGCCAAGGTTCCCTACCTAAACTGGGGCGCGAGTGAGGGTTAAGCTATTCTAGAAGTTCATTTCCAGCCGTCCCGTCGACCCCCCACCGGCCAAACGAATCTCTTTAACCTTGCTATCACACTTTGGAGCGCAGGGAACTGAAATATCCCAATTCCAGCAGGCGGCACTGTGAACCAAACACCATCCGCAGCGTGGGCGGCGCGCGGGGAAACCCGTAGGGCGGAGCCACAAGGAGTCGCCTGGGAACCACGCGTGGGGGCGTGGTCACCCCGGAAAGGGGAGTGTCTGCCAACCAAGCCCCGCCCCACCTCCGTGGTCTCTGCTCCAGGTGGGCGGGTCCCGAAATCTCTCTGGGAGAGACACGCGTGGGCCGCTCCCCCCTGGGAGGAGCAACGCGGAGAAGGGTGAGGGTGTCGCTGGCGGCCCCTCCCCGTACCGGCCACGTGGCGGGTGCGGGCCGAGCCCGGGGGAAAGAACTTGGCCCGTGGGGAGGTGGGGGGACAGAGGCGGCGCCAAGCCTAGCCGAGAGCTGCAAGGTTCGGAACCGAGAGGCAGCGGCGGCGGCGGCGCTGAGAGGAGGGGAGGAGGCAGGCGGGCGCATGGGGCGCCCCGGCTCCGCCGGCAGCGCGCCCCCTCCGGCCCCGCCGCGCTGAACGCCCCCCAGCGCCGCGCCTCGAACCCCCGCCCCGAGGCCATGCCGGTCATGAAGGGGTTGCTGGCCCCGCAAAACACCTTTCTGGACACCATCGCCACCCGCTTCGACGGCACTCGTGAGTGGGGCGAGGCTGGGGCTGGGTGTTGGAGCTGGGGCCAAGTTGGCTTCGGCGCCGGCGCCGGGTCTCCTGGATATGGTGACACCCGAGGCGGGGAGAGTGGACTTGACGGTCTAGGAACTCCCGAAGTCGCCGGGAAAGGAACAGGACTGGCAGTGCCCTGTGAGGGGAGGCGAGGAAAGGGCCAAGAGTGCAGGGGGCTAAGACTGGGAGTGTGACTGAGTCAGGAAATGCTTTTTGTGCCGCAAAACGGAGGAGGGGGCCGTGGGAGCCTCCCGCTGCGGGGCAGAGCTCTGCTGGGGACGTATGGGGGGATATCCGAGACGCAGAGGTGGAACGAAGCGGTCAGGCGCTCTGGAGTCTACTTCCAGAAGGCTCCAGCATCTCCTTCCCCAGGAAAAAAAAAAAAAAGAAAACAGAAAGAGAAAAGATCAGACTTAGGCAGCACCTTGCTTGGATTAAGGTCACGCGCCCCCAAATCTTGGCGCGTCTGCATCTGAGGGAGGTGAGGCAGGAGGAGGGGGTGGTCCCTGTGACGGAGGGAACTCTCTGCTCACCCACCCCCAGCTTGGATTCCAGGTTCAGCACCTTGGACAGCCACATTCCTCCTTCTCTGCCACTTCTCCCGCCTTTCCCTTTTCTTACTTTGGAGCTGAGAGATCTCCCCCTGCCCCCTTGGGGTACCCTAGCCAGTATCTGGAAGGTAGCGGGAGCGGTACCCGCGGGCGGAAACCGAGCCGCCGGGGCCTCAGCCGCCTCCCCACTCTCCCCCCACAGACACCTCCCTTGTTTCCATAGCTCCCATCACCCGGGCAACGGGCCCTGGGATGGAAGAGGGAGGCTGCTGCCCAGGGCCCAAAGCCTCCCAGACACCTTCAGCCCCCATCAGCCACTCCACCCCCAGACAGTCACCCCTCTTAGCTCCCAGTACTGGTTGTGTCTCAGGCCCCTTCTCTCAGTGGAGACTCTGCCCCTGGATGGCCCACAGAGCCCCTCTTCGACCTCCACCCATTGGAGCCATAGGGAGCCAGCTCAGGTTCTGCTGCTGGGGTTGCTGGACTAAACTTCAGCGCCCAGTCCTGTCCGACTTTGAGCACTGGGACAGACCCCCTGAAATTACCTAAAGAGATGCTAAAAAGAGGACCTTTCCTGGAAGGCAGAGAATGAGGACACTACTCATCACTGTCTCTCTCCCCCAACAAAGGAGATTTGTGAGTTTGGATAATCTCCATCTTTTGGTTTCCTATCAATACAATGGGTGTGATATCACCAGAATCTCTGCCCTGTCCACTCTCTAATAGGATGACAGGGTAGCAGCTATGCATGTGTCTTGCAGGCTGTGGGAATGCGGCGGGCGGTGGGAGGTGGGGGGGTATTGTCGTACCTTGTCAGTGTAGCACTTAGTGAGTGCTAGGATCTGTTTTCCCCAGGTAACTCATATAACTCTCACGACAACCATGTGAACAAGATATATTATCCCCCACTTTGCAGATACGAAAGCTGAGGCACAGAAGAGAGCTCATTAACTTGTCCAAGGTTACGGTTGGAAAGCGGCAGGGATGTGGTGCTGGAGCCCATGCTCTTACTACTATAGGTCCTCTGTATAAGCTCACCAGCCTGAATGCAGGCAGAAGGACTGCATGACCTTATCCAACCCCCCAGTGATCCCTGTGCCGGTTCTGGGCCACCCTTACATCCTTGTCCTTTTGTTCTATCTCTTCGCACTCTCATTTCAGAATATCCCAAAGGGGACCCAGGAATCAAATGAAGCCTGGGAAGCTTCTGGCTCTGACTTCTGACCACAGCCTGGGGGAGGTACTTACCCACCTTGAAGCTAAGCTCCCCTCCTGGCCTTGACCTAACCTTGACCTCTTCTTCCCACAGACAGCAACTTCCTGCTGGCCAACGCACAGGGCCCACGGGGCTTTCCCATTGTGTACTGCTCTGACGGATTCTGTGAGCTCACAGGCTACGGCCGTACCGAGGTCATGCAGAAAACCTGCAGCTGCCGCTTCCTCTATGGTCCGGAGACCAGCGAGCCAGCACTGCAGAGGCTGCACAAGGCCCTGGAGGGCCATCAGGAGCACCGGGCTGAAATCTGCTTCTATCGAAAGGATGGTAAGGAGGCCTGGCCTGCCCTGCAGTCCTGCAGCCCCGCAGCCCTGCCTAGGTGCCTTACCCAGAATTTGCCTGGCATGGCAGAAGTCTGGGTGCTGGTCCACCCACTGCCACAGGCTGACTAGGTGACGCCAAGTACATCCCTGATCCTCTCGAGGACTTCGTTCTCCCATCTGGAAGGGAAGGAGTCAGCTAACATAATCTCTGGGGTTCTTTCCAGATCTAAACCTTTGCCAAGCCCTTTGACTATGCTCAGGAACCATGGGAGGTTAAGGGGAAAGGGGTGCCATGGACTGCTCACCCTCCCATTCCACCTCTCCACATCTACAGGCTCAGCCTTTTGGTGCCTCTTGGACATGATGCCCATCAAGAATGAGATGGGAGAGGTCGTGCTTTTCCTCTTTTCCTTCAAGGACATCACTCAGAG